ATATATATATATATATGAGGCTTTGATTTTCAGGGGACTCGCTGATCAAAGATTCTAGAATAGAACGATCGCCAATTGCTTTAAGTCAGTCGGCAGTAGGCATTCATTTTATGCTAACCTCTTCAGGGTTAATCAAAGTTTAGTTATATGTATCTTTTTAAAAGAACCAGAACAATTTTTTTAAAAGTACTGCCTCTGATAAAGTATTCTTGTGGCACAATGAATTGTGAGTTAATAAAACTTAGGAAGATATTAGCAATAATGAAGCAATATTGAAAGCTATCCTTGCTCTTTTTATGCGTTTTTGCATATATACAAATTGCTAAAACGCATATTGGGAAGAGGCTATGTGTGTATGCGTGTGTGTGACCGCACCTTTTGTCAGCCATTTTCAACTCGAGAACCAGAAAAGCTAGAAGTCCGAAACTTTGGCAGTATGTGCCCATACCATGCGCGGCCCTCCCATTTTAATTTCACATGGACAGAGATCCCATGCGGACACCTGGGTGCTGCGTATGGACGCTTTAAAAAAATATGCAATTTTTTGGCAGGAAAGCGATCTCTAAGGGGCTGAAACATTGTAGGGATATTCCCTGTGCATGTACCAGCTAAAGGTTTCAAATTCAGTCCCCAGTTATGCGTGGTACTCACGTAAGGGCGTATGAAAGTTTTAGTAGGAAAACTGCTAACTCGGAAACCAGATAAGCTGGAAAATTGAAATTCTGGGGTGATGTTCCCTGTTCATGTGCAATTTAAAAATTTCAAATTCAATTTTCCAGGCACGCGGAGTACCCGCGTACAGGCATGCAAAAGTTTTGGTAGGAAAATTATAAACTCGGCAACCAGAAAAGCTAGAAAGTTGAAATTTTAGGGTAATGTTCCTGTCCAAGTACAACTTAAATATTTCAAATTCAGCTTTGAGGTATGCATGATTGTTATATACGGGCATTTAAAAGTTTTGGTGGGAAAATTTCTCAGTGAACAGCTTGGTTACTTTTGAAGAACGACTGTTAAATGGAAATTGCATATTTACTTTATGCAAAATTTATGGTGATTTATGCTAGTGATCGCAAAAGGTAGGTGCAAAGCCAGAACCATTCATGCAGATAATGACCTGAGAACCTCAACTCCGTTGCAAAGACGCATCACTGCACGGGCCTGCCCGGTGCGTTCCAGCCTGGGTCTTCTACATATCTACTTGCTCAAAATGCTTACATCTGGACTGTTTGTCTCAAGTAGTTATAGCTGCTCATGAACTTAACAAATTGATTCTGTGGTTCCATTGCTGTATTGCTGACAGTACTCGAGTCTTGAATTTGCGTAACTCACAAATAGTAGTTGCGGCATAAAATTGGTTAGAAACTGAAAAAATTTTATTGAAACTAGCTCATATTTCTTCACCAGTTGTTTCTCCCACATTGGGCGAAAAACAAACATAGATGACGAATACATATTTCAGATGGTTATCGCCGGAGACTCTGAAGTATGGCAAATTTTCTCCAAAAACAGACGTTTGGAGCTTTGGCATAACAATGTGGGAGATCTATTCAGGTGGACAGGAACCATATGGAATGGTGCAGGACAACAGGGAAGTGCGACGTGGAGTGATCGAGCAACGAGTACCTTTTTGTTACTCTTCCATTATTGTTTTCTAGGATATCAGTTCGATCGGGCAAATACATCTTATTGATTCGTTGATCAAGATGAGGAAGAGTTTTTTGGCAAGGGAAGCTAACTACAATAAATAGGGCTAGCACCAGGGGATTGAAGAGTATGAACGTTTGAATAATAAGCAGCTGCGGGAACAAATAAAGCAGATGTTCGGAAACAAAGAGTTCCTTTAACTTCAGCAAGATGGTTTTTTGCGTGCTTGCTGCATACTATCACGTCCCTGTTTGCGAGTATGTTCGTGTAATATATGTGTAGGTTAGTGTGTGTGTGTGTGTGTGTATGTGTGTGTGTGTTTGTGTGTCCGAGTGCGTTTTTTCCGCACCTTCAACTCGGAAATCACGAAGCTAAAAAACTGAAACTTTAGAGAGATCTTCCCGCCCAAGTGTGACCCCGCAAACTTAAATTTAGTATCTCCGCATATCTGAATCTCACATATCCCCCGTAGAATCTCTAGCGGAAAAAATTATCTCGAGAACAACAAAAGTTAAGAGGTTAAATCCTTGCCCATGTATGATCACGTAAATTTAATTTAGCCTCCCCGTGTACCTTACATACTACTCTATGAAATCTTTGGATAAGAAAATTATTAACTCTGGAATCATAAAGTTTATTGCCTTGCTACTGTGGATAGTACCTTATAAGTAGTGTTGACACACTGATAACAGAAATTTATTATCGCTTCTGTATCTGTACTAGATTATAGACGCAGCATAACTGAAGTGTTTGTGTTTTGGAGTTTCTAAACGAGCTCACTAAAACAAAGAACAAGATAGACAGATGCACACACAGAGATTCGACTTTAAAATACCTTTTTATGCTCGACCAGTAATGCAAATTCATATAAACTCAGGCTGGATTGCGCCAGGCTTGCTGGTGCAATCGTGCGTTTTTGCATCAGGCTTGAAGTACTCGGGTCGCGAACTGCATGAACGGTTGTAGTTTTACACCTACCTTTTGCGCTTACTAGCGTAAATCATCGTAAATTTTTCATGAAGGAGATGAACAATTTGCGTTTAACGGTCATTCTTTGAAAATTACCTAGGCTGCTCAATCAGCAATTTTCCCGCCAAAATTTCTAAGTGTTCATACGTGATGATCATACATACCTGGAGACTGAGTTTGAAATATTTGTATTGACATTCCTCTAAAATTTCAAGAGCTACTAAAAGACGGCTTGGCTCGGCCCGTCTCACACACGAACTGTAAAAAATTTTTTTTCCGGAAGGGATGTAGGGCTGCACCATGGCAGATGGCGGTATTTTGAATGTGGTGCCAGCGTAAGATAAAAAAAGTAGAAGGGAAAGAATTTTTATGGCTTTTCAGGTCATGCATATGTGATGTGTAACGTATCAGGATAGGCGCATTTTACAGCCCCTTGAGGTCATCTATACACCTCCTCCCTTGGCTGCGCCCACACTCTTCCCGTATATAAGCCCAGTTTTTGGACACAAAACTCAGTCTCTCCGCTCCACTCGGACTGAGTGGCGGGGGGCGAGTTTAGTCGGCCACCGTTCTCAGTCCTCACTACCAGAGGGGGAGAGGAAATGGAAAATTTGATGCTTAGGAAGAGAGAGGGGGAGGGGAAACATTTGTACATCCACTAACCGCCGCTCGCCTCTCCACCTATGACCACGGTCGTCCCTCTACTATTCCGCCTTCCCACCAGTCAATCCTACAGCCACTGCGGCCTGGGTAACGTTGCGCTGCCTTTCTTGCAGGCTGCCAAACGATCCCGGTGAGCGACTCCACGAAACACCGTTGCCAGAGATGACAGGGAGCTTTCCAAGCACCAACTACCACCAGCCGAGCCGAGTTGTAGTAGTTGCCAAAATTTCAGCTTTTCACCGTTTCTAGTTCACAAGTTAGTGGTTTTCTCGCCAAAATTTCCACATGCCCGTACGTGAGTACCACCTTAAGATTTCAGACTTCCAATTTTTCCAGTTGCCGAGCTAACAACTTTTCCAACAAAACTGTTGCATGCCCGTACATTAAAGCCACGCACACCTAGGGGCTGAGCAAAAAAGTGAGAAAACACAAGAAAGCGGATTAAAAATAAAGCTACCGGGGGCTCTACTTTAGCTCACACATTCACAAAGAATATCTGTGCAAAGTTACAGCTCTCTATCTCTTCTGGTTCCCGAGATCGCTTTCTCGCCGAAAAATTTGCATATTTTTTAAGGCGTCCGTACGCGGCACGCAGATGTGCATGGGTGGTGCTATTAAAACGGTAGGGTCAAAGAGGTGTTTGGCACATACTCTCAAAGTTTCAGCCTTCTGGCATTTCTGGTTCCCGAGTTGAAAATGGGTGACAAAAAATGCGAATACACAGAAACAAATACACACACAGACAGCCTTTTGCCGCTATGCGTTTTTGCATTTGCATATTTGCAAAAACGCATAATCATGATCTCAAGTATCACTGTAATCAACTAAAGCGTTTGTATTCGCCTTTGATCAAAATAGTTTGGTAGCGTAAGCTAATTTGTTATTTGCCAATAAACCACCAGGCAATTCGAGCCAGTCTAACGACTTTATTGCTGGACGGGAATCTATCGAACACATCGACTCATGCTTAACCATTAGCCCATCAGACGCACTACTCCACAAATCCACGTCTGCTTCTTTCAACCTGTTTAAATAATAGTTTATTTCAGCTAAAGGTGTCGATCCCGCAGGATATGCCAGCAATGATGCAGCCACTGATGTTGAACTGTTTAGCGTACAATCCAGACAGCCGTCCCACATTTCACGACCTTAACATGCAACTCTCTAGCTTCAAGGTAACGCCGGCCAATGCAACGTTCTCCGGGAAGCTCAAGGAATTTCTACACCTTTGACTGTTCAATGAAACGTTATCATGAAAACACAACGACCTCTAAAACAGCTCGAATGCTGTTATTATACCAGCAAATGCATCAATAAATGCTGTGCTTTTTTAGGCATAACAGTGTAGCAGTTTGGACCTCTTTTCAGAAGTACTTGATACTCTGTAAAACTGGTTAGCTATAATTCATATTTTGGCCCCCCAGTTATGCAGCTGCCAGCTTCTCCAGTTGCTTTGACCAAAGTGCTGCATCATCTGGCTTGGAAGCCCTAGACTGCGATGAGGTACTTTGCGCATCGTGAACAAAACATGCTCGAACTTATTATAATACTGTACAGTTCGTTTTAACAGAGATAAATCTTGTTAGGATCATTACGCAGCGGGTTACCCTCGTGCATTTCTCGCGCATCACGGTATCCTCGAGCAGTTACAATAAGTGGCATTTCCGTTTCGATCCCTGCAATACACTTATGGGAATTGTGCGAGTCTAAGAGCGGGGATTACAAATTTGACTCATTTTATTGTTTCACGTTTTAGAATTAGATTGAACCCAGGTAGCAACTCACCAGGCTTGCCGGTGAAGTTGTACGTCTTCGCGCTCTACTTGAAGTAGTCAGTTAGTTAACAGCATGAATGATTTTTGCGTTACAGTTTAACACATGCATTCATCATGGCTATGTTGTTGCTTTCCTTATATGCAAGAAAATGAGTTGGGAACATTTCCTGAAAGTTTCAGCCTCCCAACTTCCTTGGTCCCGGAGTTATCCATTTTTCCGCCAAAAATTTTCACGGGGTCGTACATGAAAACCACGCATAACGGGGGCTGAATTTGATAAATTTAAGTTGTAGATGAACTGAAAACATTCGCTGAAAGTTTCAGCCCCCAGCTTTCTTGGTTCCCAAGCTAGCGATTTTCGCGCCAGGAACCCCCATGGGGCCGTACGCGGAAAACACGCACACCTGAGGGCTGAATTTAAAATCTTTGAATTCTATATGGACGGGGAACATAATCCAAAATTTCAGCTTTCTAGCTTTTCTGGTTCCCAAGTTAGTGATTTTCCGGCCAAAACTTTGAGATGCTCGTACGCGGGGCCCAGACGTGGGCGAGGATTGGTGTCGCGACCCAGAGATGGCACTTGGCTGGGGAATCCACTCGCAAAATTTTGGCGCCGCAGCTTGCTTGGGTGCCGAGTTGAAATACCCGGACAGACGCACACACACACACACACACACACACAC